TTTTTTTGGATAAATTGAATACATTTAATAAGGGTAAATTTGGAAATCAAAAGTTAGCTTGTATAATATATTAATGACATTGTTTTAAGTGTAAAGAGAATGACACATGTCAAGCAAAAAATGGAGAAGGTCCAAAGGAGAAGGTTGCTAGCATTCCCCTTTTTAGCCATGGACTACAGCCCTATGATTGAAAATAGCCTGACCAAGCACATTGTACTAGGTTCGATTCCTCCCCTCAATATCGTTTGTATCAAAAAAACTTGGGAAATAGCGGTATATACCACCAAAATTATAATCTCAATTAAAAATACCACCGGCTCCCAATTTTTTTACAACTAACAAAACTTTCCAGACCTTCATCAACGATGAGCTGGCAGGATCCACTTCGGTCACTCCATTCCACGTGTCAGGATAATACCGAATTTGGACGTATCGTATGTCCAGTGTACTACACGCAATCCTTTTCTCCCAAAAGAAAAGCGACACCATTATTACACGAATCTCCACGCAAGCGTTATTATACACTTCAAAAAACCAAATACAGAAACAAAGAAAAAAAATCTCCCGCCATCCCTAAAACATTTGCAAACCCTCAAAAACCAGGAATCTCATCGAATTTTGATCGGGGTTGAAGATTTGGATCAGGAAAATGGAGCTGACGGTGGTAGATCTGAGCTTGTACTTGGGATCGAAGGGCGAAGTGAAGGAGTTGTGCGGCGAGGTGAGCCGGAGTCTGAGAGAAACAGGTGCTCTATTGGTCAAGGACCCCAGATATACGGCCGAGGACAACGATCGCTTCCTCGGTATGATGGAGAGGTACTTCGATAGACCGCCAGAATTCAAGCGACTCCAGGAGAGGCCCCAATTGCATTACCAGGTGGGTTCTGTTTGGTTCCCGAGAAAATGAAAAACTGTTGCCTAGATATCAGAAAAATGAAAAATTGAATTTCGTTATAAAAAAAGAATTGAAATTTGAAGCCCAATTCTTTGATTACTGATTGGTGGCTTATCTGGGTTCTCTTTTTATTTTAATTGTCTATTTCTTTTGATTTGTGGTGGGAATTGGATTGCTGTTGTTCAAAACTTGAAGTGGGGATAAGATTACAGGTTGGGGTGACACCAGAGGGTCTGGAAGTGCCAAGAAGCCTTGTTGATGAAGAAATGCAGGAGAAATTGAAAGAAATGCCCAAAGAGTTCCAGCCATCCATTCCCAAGGGGGCAGATCGCAAATGGCGATACATGTGGAGAGTGGGTCCTCGACCCTCAGAAACCCGCTTTCAGGTCTCATTCTTTGTTTTCCTTTAGATATTCACTTTGCACTCATATGTATTGACTGTTTTAATTAAATGCTATTATTCTACTTGCCATGATGATGATGATTATGTTATTCTTGTTTTCTAGGAACTTAACGCAGAGCCGGTCGTACCCGAGGGGTTTCCTGAATGGAAAGATACCATGGATTC